ATGTAGATTTAAATTTAAAGGCCTCTGGTTAATTCTGAATGATTAACTTTTCTCTGTGAAAAAGCCAACATCCTTACTACAACACATACAACATGTATTTACGAATGTTGTATACAAAAATGGGCTTGGGAATGAATTAATGATTTTTTGGGATATTTCCAAATAGTTTTAGGGATACGGGATATTTGTAATAAATATTTATTGGGATATTAGGGGTAAATATTATAGGGATATGGGATATTGGGACAAAAACTTAAAGGGATATGGGATATTGATACCCTCCCCCCCCCCCCCTAAACAAGCCTCAAGACAAGACACTTGTTTATCATCTAGGCATGCTGGATCACATTTGTGGTCAAACGTTTCAACCAGTTCATTTATATACAATGAAAATAATGTAGGGCTTAATATACAACCCTGTTTTAATCCTACACATGAGGGAAATGTTTGTGTTAGTCCCTTTTTTAATTTTACAGAGAAAGAAACATCTTTGTACATATCTTTTAAAATATTAAAAAAAGACCTTTTATATTATAGTTAAGTAACTTATGAAAAAGGCCATCTCTATTGATTGTGTCAAACGCTTTTCTTAGATCTACAAAACAAGTGTACAGATGTTTAGATTTTTTAAAGGTCTTGTCAATCAGAGTTTTTAATGTTAAAATGTGATCACTTGTTCTGCTATTTTTCCTAAAGCCTATTTGCTCCTTGTGTAATATACTGTTATTTTCAAGAAAGTTCTCTAACCTGGTAGATGATATCTTTAAGAAAAATTTACATGATATAGTGTCCAGCTGGGATCGTGTTTTATCGAGTGTGACCACTTTTTTTCGAGGGATATGATCTGAAATCACGGTAAACAAATAGACTTCCTTTCTTCATGTTCTTGTGAAACGTGAAACAGATGTTTAAACTAAATATACAAGATCATTTTATGTAAGTTTGTATTTGTTATAAAAGGATATTACCAACCATATGTTATTTTGTGTTATAAAAAGTTAAATTTAGCCTTAAAATGTTTTTATTCCAATATATAGAATAAAACCCTTTTTTATACATCGACGAATGCAAATTACAAAGGAAATACATACATGAATTTTTATTTACAGACACTTTATAAAATGTCTTGTTATTGAACGTGTTGAATAAATAAGGGCATTTTGAGAATAAATTCAATTTTGTATGTCAGGGTTTTTTACGAGAGCAGTCCGGGTCTTTTCTAGTAGCGTCCAGGTTTTATCGAATGACTATTGAAAATTCCGTTGGTTTAAAATGTTGTCTATTAACATTTATAAGTTTAAGAAGTAATGAAAAGATTCAAGTAAAGTACTTTCCAAAACACAAAACAATTGCATTAAACGAGTTTGATAATGTTGTATTTACATATTTCATACAAAAAATGAAAACAACACGTTATTGATTGCATGCGTCCGGAGCATCCTTTATTTGTATCTATTATTATTTGCCACATCTTATAAACTGCATGGACGCCAATATACATATGTTTCGATAGATCAAACATGTCTGCGCCAAGGTGAAGACTATTCACATCAAGCAAGTTCAATGCATGCAGTCAACGCCGGTTTACGTGTGTTTGGTTCGATACAGCATGTTGTATGTATACCAATGTCGATTCCATATAATAAGTATGAACAATCTTTATGTAAGTGTAACAATGTTCATTTCTTACACTTAATTATTGTGATGCGAAAATCTGTTTTTATTATATTATTTTGAAGGGATTATATTAAAGCATATAGTTTGAGGTAAGAGTTTTTTTGCTCCGTGTTGAAGACCTCATTGTGACTTTGAGATGAAGAACAGCAATAAAAGCGATGTTTCTTTTTGTTTTGTTTGTTTTGCTGTACATATCCTGATTTTATGTCATGGATGGATACCCCATATCCTTTTTTTTCTATTATATGGTTTACTTATTGAATTGTTTATTTTGTATTCCATTCTATTTAAATTGTATTGTCATCAAAGATTAAGTTTGTGGCAAATAATTCAGGAAACATACTAGAATTGTATATCCCCGAAGTTTTTGTGATATACGAGGATAAATTATTCCTATAAATAAAAGGGTAAGGTCAACAACTATGAGACAGCAACCCCCTCCCCAATCATCAAGGTGTCTATATGTTGTGTGCATAATTTGTGTTTCGACTTTGTACAAATTGTACTTTGTCCAAAAAGTGCTTGACGTACAAAACTTGACTAAAATTCACTTATAACTTGTACAATAATTTATAGCATAGATTTGGTTAAAAAAAGCACTGATACACAATATAGAATTTTTATTTAACATGTTTAATGACCACACAATAAATCTTATTCACAAAATAAAAAAATACATATAGTTCTTAAAATTTGTTTGAGCATGTGAGTGAATTATGGCATCGGGAATTGCTCATTTTTTTTACTTTTTACATTCTCAGGAACCCTTATTGTGAATACACAGGTTTCTTTAACAGCTTCAACTTGATTTCTAGACAAATATCCTTTTAAAGTTCCTACAGCTAATACCCAAAATCTCCAGATTCAACAATTACGCCTAAGAGATTTCGGGGATCAGTTAATTGGCGCAAGATCATACTGCGGAATGCGGAATAAGTAAAATGACATTGTCCCTCCACAGCAAGTTAATCTGATAATTTGGGTTCATATTCTTGGTAAGATATTCGGCTTGGATCTGTTGGCAAGACAGTGCACACATCCTGGAACGTATGATAAGTTTTTCCTTTGTGTGCATATGATTATGCTTTGATGTATTATCATCTGTTAGTTTCAGACCTTCTTGGACAAATTTATTCTGCTGATCAACAATGTAACTGTTGGCCATGCTTACACATGCTACACTATTACATCAACTGCGTGAATGACCAAAAGAGTGTTCACAAACACCTGGTATATATTGTATATATTTGCCAACTTATTAAAATACTTGAACAAGGCAATTAAAATGTATTACAGTTACTGTTAAAAATATATAAAAGGCCATCATTTCTATCAAGTTAGATTATCAAATATCCTTTGTACAAATTATAAGTGAATTTTAGTCAAATTTTGTACATTTTTTTTTGTTTTTCCAAACTTTCAAATTTTATCCTATTTGTTATATTTCATTCCATTTTTAATTTTTATAAATTTTCATTTCATTGTTCACTGCGTTCAAAGTCCTTTCTATTTTAATGCATGATGTGTCTCTATTGTCACTCTATTGAGGGGCCTGATGGGTTATTTTCGTTCTTCGTGATCCGGCGGCGCATTTTCTCTATCGTGATCCGTTTTTCTACAGATTTTTTTTTTTTTATATTTTCGTGATCCGTGATCATGGAAATTTATTTTCTGTGAATCGTGATTGACAAAAAAATCAACTCGTGAATCGTGATGAGACCCCCCCCCCCCAAAAAAAAAAACAGGCCCCTCTCTATTCTATAAACCCCATCCAGACCCCGTTAACCATGCTGTTTCTAATGAATTTAATCCCACGATGTGTATCTATTCTCTTTTCCCCCTGAATTTAGGTTAATTTTTTTTTCACATACTACATGTATTTTCTATCATTAAACGATTACGCCGTATTCTATTTTTATCGGTGCACTAGTCACGACTAGTACTGGTACAGTGGCATTGTCTTTTATGTTTAGGTATTTAGACATACCTATGTCAAATTCTTTAACATCCGGTTGTGCAAACAAAAGCGGTGTCTTAGTTCGATCAGGTAAAAATGTTAATAAAACGATAGATTGAGCCAACTAATTTCTGTTTTTAATACAAAATAATTTTGATTTTATGAAGATATGTGTTCATCTAGTTAAAAGGCTTTAATTACGTCAGATCGATATCAATATTGTTAGGTTGTGTCAAACTCATATGAATGACGTCGTCTCGGAAAATAAATCTTTTTTTCCAAAATTGTGTATCAAATCTTAGTTTGTCTTTTTAAATTTATATGAACGATCATGATAATAAATTTTAAAAGTGAAGATACGGAAAATTATGCGATCTGTTGACGTCGGTATCTAATTTTACAGATATAACATGTACAACAGGCCCTGAGGCTATTCAGTCTTTGTAATGTTCATTGTACCGAATCAAGTTGTATTGTAAACACATGAAGAGTTGTTTTAAGAACATGTAAATTAATAGATATGATGACACACACATAAATTGAATTAATAAACGTGAACATAAAATGTTCTGTATTTTTTATCTTCAGGAAGAACACGATAATTCTTGGCCTTTATAATTAAATTGCTTTCTACAAATTGAAGGTTAAATTCACCAATTCCAAATATTCATAACTCTTGTGTCAAAAGTTCAAATAAGGTGACCAAACATTTATGTCTAAGCATTACCTTTTAAAACTTGTCTTATGCTGAAAATATTAATATGCCTAAGTTCTTTAATCTGTTAATTGCATATACATATATGTATGTGAGTACTGGTTCTGGAACTTCAGAAGTACAAAACAGATACTTCAGATTTGAGAAACAGTCAAAGTGTGCCCTTCTTATTAACCTTCACGCAAAATTTTATTATCTAGTGACAGTAACTCAGAAGTTCTTAGCTTTTGTCTAAAGTTAACAGAAACTCTGTTATAAACATTACTTGTGATGACAGTAGTGGATCCAGTTTACAAAAGAAAATGTGGGGAGGGGGTATGTCATGTATATACCTGTACCTTTTCTTTAACTTCTGATTTTTTATTTGTCCTTTTGATGCTGTCTAGCTTCCACCATTTTTTTTGGACAATGAAAATTCTGTAGATCTAATTTTGATCTTTGTTTGTTAATAACTACTTAAAGTAAATGCTTAATTCCTTTCTTATTGAACATTTTTAGTATGGCTCGTGGTCAACAAAAAATCCAGTCTCAGATGAAAAATGCTGAGAAGCAGGCCAAGTTAAAGAAGATGGCTGGAACTGACACAAAGAAGGCTGCTGCAGCTGCTTTAACATATAAATGTACTGTGTGTATGGTATGTACACCATAGCCTAGTATAAAACGTATAAATGTACTGTGTGTATGGTATGTACATGTACACCACAGCACAGTATAAAACATATGAACACTTATTTAAATAATTTTAATTAAATGTTACCATTTCCAAGGTATTGTGTTGACTAAATTGTTATATCTACATGTACTTATTAGGTTGTTCTAGTAAGTTATTCACAGCTTGGTAGGGCTTCACATTAAGGATGCAGCAACTTCGCTAGCCAAGGGTTACGATCCAGTCTCCTCCTCTCCACCCTTGGCAGATGAAGTCAATATTTGTGATAACAATGCTGCCCCATCTAATGGTAGACAAAAGTCACACCCATTCCGACTGCATCATTTTTGACCAGTGGCAGTACTTGAACTCTCTTCAGTATGGAGGTGTAAAAATGGTTGTGACTAGTGTTTACAAATTTCGTGAGGCAGGAACAGAAAATATACATTGACATTCCAACATTTCCACTAGAAACATATCCAGGAACTTCAATTAGTTTATTAAGAACTTTACAATTGTCACTAAATATCGTCCTATGTTTTTTGGGTAAAGACTTGTTGCACAATCAGCATGTGGCAATTGTGTATTTATATTTTATACATTTACACATGATTATCTTAAAGGCGCTTTTTGATTGGATGAAGCCAATTATAACTGTGACCAATGGAAATTCGTACCTCATGGATCCGAAATTCTATCTTAATCCGCCAAGGGTGGAGAGGAGGGGACTGAATCGTAACCCTTAGCTAACGAAGATGAGGATGCAGGAGCCCTATTGTTTTCACTTAGTCTGTCTGTCCTTCACAAATTTTTTTATCGCAAAAAACTCCAAAAGTATAGGTAAGAAACCAATGAAATTTTGCACAGTTGTTGTGTGTAATATGTACATGTAGATATATACATTTCATTTTGGTGAAATTCAGCTCATTTATTTGTTTAAAAAATCACAAATATCATGAATATTGAGAAATGTCTTATAATAGGATTTAAAAAAATTATTATGTTATTTCAAGCGATGGACAAATAAATAAAAAAAATTGTAAAAACTTTCTTTTTGTTAAAAATCACAAATTTTGAGGAGCATCTTGTTGTAAGATGTCCTCAAAAATTTATATTTGATATAGACATAATATGCATTCCAAATTGTTTCTTTAAGTCAAAATTGTGTTAAAAACTTGATTTTTTTTGTTAAAAAAGTGACAAAATCTAAGAATCATATTTTTTCTAGGATTTGAAAGAAAAGGTATCATTTGCTATAAAAAAAACTATTTTCTGTGTAAAAATGATTGGTTGCCCACCAATTACAAAAATACCTACCAAAAGCCATGTCATTACTAGAGCTTGGATTTTAACAAAATACATATAAAAGTCAAGAACACATCTTGAATAACTTGCTGGTGACAATGGACAACCTATGAACATTTGCTTTGTATGAATCATTCTCTTTGCTCCTCAGAAAAATGTGCAAGCGGGGTCCTTGCTGAAATGTCAGTTTTCTCTAGTTTCTGAATCCTGTGTTTTTTTTGAAACTAAATAGAATAAGAATGACATGTTTAAACTGTCCAACATGGTTGTCTTCACTGTCACAAGAAGACTATAGAATAGAGAATGGAAAAGGGGATGTGTCAAAAAGATGACAACTTGACCAAATGGTCTCAGACGCAGAAAATCCTGCACCTAGAGGTGGGTTTCAGCTGGACCCTAACAATAATAAAAATGTATACCAGTTCAGCGAAATGGATGCCTAACTAAACTCCAAGACATATAAATGATGCAGCATTAAAACCAATAAACATAAAAAGAAGGATGTGGTGCCAATGCAATGAGAAAACTATTTACCAGAGACCAAAGGACGAGAATGTAACCAGCTATAGAATAGAGCACTGTACAGCATTCAACAATGAGCAAAACCCATACCGTATAGTCAGCTGTAGTAGTCCTTGTCATGACAAGAATAGGGCACTGTACGTATACAGCATTCAACAATGAGCAAAACCCATACCGTATAGTCAGCTGTAGTAGTCCTTGACATGACAAAATGTTAAACAATTCAAACAAGAAAACCTTATTTATATCAAATTTTTATAAAACAAATATGAAGGACAGCAACCAACAAAGAACAACCACTGCATTATAGGCTCCTGACTTTGTGACAAGTACATGGTCATGCTTGCTGGTTATAAGATGCATTACAATCATAAGTTGTGTGTTTTCCCCCTATAACATGTTTAAAGTACATGTAGTACAGTACAAGAAATTTGTAAGTATTACCGTTTCCCTAATGATGTACATGTATTTATTTGTATTACTAGATCCTTAAAACTAATCACTTGATTGGTAGATAAATGAATTTAACCTGTTAAATATATTATAGAGATAAGCTTATTTTTCAGTCTATGATGCCTGATCCTAAAACATACAAACAACATTTTGAAAGTAAACATCCTAAGGTCGCACTACCAGAAAACTTGAAAGATATTTCAGCTTAAAAATCTTCACAGATATTCTTTATGGTATGTACATTTTATCTTCAACGATATTTTCTATGCTATAAAAATAAGAAGAATTGGTATGAATGCCAATGCCACAAGAAACCAAATGACACAGAAATTAACAATTCAAGTTCACCATACGGCCTTCAACATTGAGTAAAACCCATGCTGCATAGTCAGCTTTAAAAGGCCCTGAGATGACAAATGTAAAACAATTCAAACGAGAAAACTAAAGGTATGATTTATGTACAAAATAATGAACGAAAAATAAATATGATATACAGCAACAAACGACAACCATTAACTTAACTCATTAGATTGTAAAAAATCAGAAATACATCTAACAAAAACAGAGTGGATGTGGGAGGGTACTTATACATCCCCACAACAAAAGACCCTCAGAACAGATCTGAGAGTACTCACAGTTACTGACAGCTAGTTCAAAGCCAATAACAACTAATACAAAAAATCATGCATCTAAGACTAAAATATCAATCAGTACACATCCAACATCCAATGGATTTAGTGTAAAGACGTCTTTAACAATCAGAGAAAAACATGACCTTGTGCAATGTACTTTTTATACGACCACAAAAATTTAAAATTTTTGCGGTCGTATATTGGTATGACGTTGGCCTCGTCATCTTTGTCGTCGTCCGAAGACACATTGGTTTTCGCACTCTAACTTTAGTTTAAGTGAATGGATCTCTTTGAAATTTTACCTTAAGGTTAAATACCACAAAAGGAAGGTTGGGATTGATTTTGGGGGTTATGGTACCAACAGTTAAGGAAAAAGGGGCCAAAAATAAGCATTTTCTAGTTTCCAGACAATAACTGTGGAATGGTGTATGGATCTCTCTGAAATTAAACTACAAGTTTCCATACCACAAAGGGATGGTTAGGATTTTCTTTGGGGGTTATGGCTCAAACCGTTTAGGAATTAGGGTCAAAAAAGGGGGAAAAACAAGGTTGTCCTGGTTAATGGACAAATACTTTAGTACAAAACATAATTTAAAGCAGTGTAAGGGAGATAAATCAAATACATCATTGAAATTACCTCCCTTACACTGCTTTTAAATTATGTATAAAGTAATGGTTTTTTCTCATTTCAGATTTCAGAAATTAAAAAAGAATTATTCTTCAAATATTATTTTTTTTTCAAATTTCAAATATTATGACTCATTTACTCTCGTAATCCAAATACAACAAATACAACGACTTTTCAAATTGGTCTACATTAAGGTCCAAAGGGTCCAAAATTAAACTTTGTTTGATTTTAACAAAAATTGAATATATGGGGTTCTTTGATATGCTGAATCTAAACATGTATTTAGATTTTTGATTTTTGGCCCAGTTTTCAAGTTGGTCCAAATTGTGGTCAAAAATAAAACTTTGTTTGATTTCAACAAAAATTGAATATGTGGGGTTCTTTGATATGCTGAATCTGACTATGTATTAAGATTTTTTATTTGTGGACCCCGCTATCAAATTGGTTCATATTGAGGTCAAAAGGGTCCAAAATTAATCTTCGTTTGATTTCCTCAAAAATTGAATTATTGGGGTTCTTTGATATGCCGAATCTAACCGTGTATTTAGATTTTTAATTTTGGGTCCCAGTTTTTAAATTGGTCTACATCAAGGTCCAAAGGGTCCAAAATTAAACTTAGTTTGATTTTAACAAACATTGAATTCTTGGGGTTCTTTGATATGCTGAATCTAAACATGTGTTTAGATTTTTGATTATGGGCCCAGTTTTCAAGTTGGTCCAAGTTGGGGTCCAAAATTAAACTTTGTTTGATTTCAACAAAAATTGAATATATGGGGTTCTTTGATATGCTGAATCTAAACATGCATTTAGATTTTAGATTTTTGGCCCAGTTTTCAAGTTTGTCCAAGTTGGGGTCCAAAATTAAACTTTTTTTGAATTCAACAAAAATTGAATATATGAGGTTCTTTGATATGCTGAATCTAACCATGTATTTAGATTTTTTATTTGTGGGCCCCGTTATCAAAATGGTTCATATTGAGGTCAAAAGGGTCCAAATTAAACTTTGTTTGATTTCATCAAAAATGGAATTATTGGGGTTCTTTGATATTCCAAATCTAACCCTGTATTTAGATTTTTAATTTTGGGTCCCATTTTTATACAACCGCAAAAATTTTTGCGGTCGTATATTGGTATGACGTTGGCGTCGTCGTCGTCTGGCGTCGTCCGAAGACACATTGGTTTTCGCACTCTAACTTTAGTTTAAGTGAATGGATCTCTATGAAATTTTACCATATGGCAGATTCCATATAAGAAATTGAAATGTCTGTCAAAATGAATAAATAAATAAAAATAATAATTACTGTTATTTTAAAGATAATCTGTGAATGTTTTGAGGAATAATGATGTAAGAAGAAATTATAAAAACAATTTTTGGATATGATTGTTTCCGTTTAAAGTAGAAATGATTAAAACAAGTTGAAAAAATGCAAAAATTTTGACAGAATTAACTCCCATTTTTTTACACAATGTTTATGTGTTGCAATGCTTTATGTTGACACTTGTTTACTGGTATTTACTAGTGTAGTCTGGTTATTCAAACATCCCTGTTCCCAAATTTGTTACTTTTTTTAGTCAAAAACATCTTTGATATATATTTTTTTTCACTTTCAAATATCTTGCTTTATAGCTCAGTGTCTGTCAATAAATCTTATGTCAGGAACATCGCTGTAAAAACTTTCAAAATCATTGTAGGTTCCAATATATGCCAGTTAAAACTGTAAGTCATGCTGTGCATAAGAAAAAACACATGCTGATTCTTTCATTTAACTTTATTCAAGCAATAGTTTTAACTTATATGTTTCCTACATAAGATCTGTCAAACTTGTTTTCTTATGTCTGAAACATTTGAATGTGCTAACAGTTAAAGTTCTTTGACCTGTTGTGAAATCTCGTTAGATGTTAGGCTGCAGTATTTTCCAGGAGTTTTAAAAATGACTTTCAACTAGGATTTGATTTCCAATGTCAGTCAAAAAAAACAAATATATATTGTCTGTCAAAACATCTTATGTATGAAAAATCTTATGTCAGAATCAAGTCTGTCAAAATCTTATGTCAGAAACTCAATTTGTCTGTCAAATCTTATGTCAGAAATAATAAAGTCTGTCAAATCTTATGTCAGAAAAAATAAAGTCTGTCAAATCTTATGTCAGAAATAATAAAGTCTGTCAAATCTTATGTCAGAAAAAATAAAGTCTGTCAAATCTTATGTCAGAAACAATAAAGTCTGTCAAATCTTATGTCAGAAACAATAAAGTCTGTCAAATCTTATGTCAGAAACATAATATTTAAGGCTTCGTTTATTTAAAAAGGATGATGCTCATAATTTTTTTTTTTATCAAATTGTCTTTATCTTTATGAGTAAAGCATGTATTCAAAAACAGAAGTTCATTGCTTATGATTTTTGCCTAACGTGCTTATGGGAGTTGTTTCACTTTCTTATATGGAATCTGCCATAAGGTTCAATACCACAAAAGGAAGGTTGGGATTGATTTTGGGGGTATATTGGTATGACGTTGGCGTCGTCGTCGTCGTCGTCATCGTCAATTGGCGTCGTCCGAAGACACATTGGTTTTCGCACTCTAACTTTAGTTTAAGTGAATGGATCTCCATGAAATTTTACCATGAGGTTCAATACCACGAAAGGAAAGTTGGGATTGATTTTGGGGGTTATGGTATCAACAGTTAAGGAATTAGGGGCCAAAAAGGGGCCAAAAATAAGCATTTTTGTAACTTCCAGACATAATTTGTGTGTTAGTGTATGGATCTCTCTGACATTGTACCACAACGTTCCATATCACACAGGGAATACTGGGATTGATTTTGGGGGTAATTGCCTCAAAATATTAGGAATTAGGGGCCAAAAAAGGGGCAAAAAACAAGCATTTTTCTAGTTTCATGACAATAACTTGTGTGTAAGTGTATGGATCTTTCTGAAATTGTACTACAAGGTTCCATATCACAAAGGGAAAGCTCGAATTGAGTTTGGGGGTAATTGCCCAAAACGTTTAGGAATAAGGGGCCAAAAATAAGCATTTTTCTAGTTTCCAGACAATAACTTGTGTTCAAGTGTATGGATCTCTCTGAAATTGTACTGCAAGGTACCATACCACAAAGGGAAGGCTGGGATAGAGTTTGGGGGTGATGAATCATAAGGGGGTTCAAAAAATTGGGGGGGGGATTTTTTTTTTTTTTTCCTTTTTTTTCTTTTTTTCCTTTTTTTTTTCTTTTAAAATTTAAGCAAATAATAATGATATGGTAGGAGATACACACCAAACAGGATGTGTAAATTATTATATAATAAGTATTGTGCAATAGCAAGAAATTTTCAATTGCACAGTATTGCACAATAGCAAGAAATCTTCAATTGCACAGTATTGCACAATAGCAAGAAATCTTCAATTGCACAGTATTGTGCAATAGCAAGAAATATCCAATAGCACAATATTGCCCAATAGCAAGAAATTGTCAATTGTACAGTATTGCGCAATAGCAAGAAATATTCAATTGCACAGTATTGTGCAAAAGAAGATACTTCGTATAAATTGCTTATTTCTTGACCAATTTCAATGGGGTTTTATTCTTGAATTCTTGGGGTTATTTAATATGCTGATTCTAACCGTGTATTAAGTTTTTGGATTTTGGGCCCCGTTTTTAAATTGGTCCACATTGAGGTCCAAAGGGTCCAAAATTAAACTTTGTTTGATTTCATCAAAAATTGAATTATTTGGGTTCTTTGATATGCCGAATCTAACCGTGTATTTAGATTCTTAATTTTTGGTTCCGTTTTCAAATTGGTCTACATTAAGGTCCAAAGGGTCCAAAATTAAACTTAGTTTGATTTTAACAAAAATTGAATTCTTAGGGTTCTTTGATATGCTGTATCTAAACATGTATTTAGATTTTTGATTATGGGCCCAGTTTTCAAGTTGGTCCAAATCGAGGTCCAAAATTAAACTTTGTTTGATTTCAACAAAAATTGAATATATGGGGTTCTTTGATATGCTGAATCTAACCATGTATTTAGATTTTTGATTTTTGGGCCCCATTATCAACTTTGTCCACATTGAGGTCAAAAGGGTCCAAAATTAAACTTTGTTTGATTTCATCAAAAATTGAATTCTTGGGGTTCTTTGATATGCTGAATCTAACCATGTATTTAGATTTTGGATATTGGACCATAATAGGTGAATGTCCAATTTAAAATTTTTAAGTTCTTAGACCACATTCATTCTGTGTCAGAAACCTATGCTGTGTCAAATATTTAATCACAATCCAAATTCAGAGCTGTATCAAGCTTGAATGTTGTGTCCATACTTGCCCCAACTGTTCAGGGTTCGACCTCTGCGGTCAGATCAAGCTGCGCCCTGCGAAGCATTTTATTTAAATTGGTCTTCATTAGGGTCCAAAATTAAACTTAGTTTGATTTTAACAAAAATTGAATTCTTTGGGTTTTTTGATATGCTGAATCTAAACATGTGTTTAGATTTTTGATTATGGGCCCAATTTTCAAGTTTGTCCAAGTTGGGGTCCAAAATTAAACATTGTTTGATTTCAACAAAAATTGAATATATGGTGTTCTTTGATATGCTGAATCTTACCATGTATTTTGATTTTGGACATTGGACCATAATAGGTAATTTAAAAAAAATCAAGTTCTAAGACCACATTCTTTCTGTGTCAGAAACCTATGCTGTGTCAAATATTTAATCACAATCCAAATTCAGAGCTGTATCAAGCTTGAATGTTGTGTCCATACTTGCCCCAACTGTTCAGGGTTCGACATCTGCGGTCGTATCAAGCTGCGCCCAGCGAAGCATTTTATTATTTTCAGCGATATTCTTTATTGTAGGTACATTTTATATTATCATCAGAACAGTGTTGTCAGCAAATTTTCTGTTTTGTACATATATGCATGTATAATGTACATGTAGGTGTTTATAGATTATCAATGTTTTTTTCAAAAAGAGGGTGTTTTTTAGCTACAATCTCATTGAAGGGCGACAGCGCTGAAATGAGATATAGCCTAGAAATATCCTCGAGTTTGAAAGTGTATTGATAATCTGTTTATCGCTGTTTTCCTAGGCAACTTCAAATTCTTTGGCTCATGATGTCATACATTCTCTTTCTTCAGACTGAGAAAATCCCATATCACTCGAGTAGCGTTATATGAAAAGATCAAAGCAAAATTTTATAAAAAATAGTGAAGGTTGTCTATCATGGGAAAAATAAGAAATTAAAAAAATAAACCAATTGTTTTACAAAAATGTATAGTTTTTAAGGAGTGAACTATAGGAAAGGTCACACCTTCCAAAACTACAAAATGTAAAGATTTTTGGAACTAAATTTTTCTTTTTTCTTTTCTCTTATTGTCCTTTAATTTATTGACACACTCATCATGCTCATGTGATAAGTAATAAAAAAGCTTAATCTTATTAATGCTGGGTAGCATCACCACCTGATATAGGTACCCTGAAGCAAAGAAACGATGATAGCAAAAGGTATCTATTCTTTTCTCTGTACAGTAAAAAACTATTCCTCATACAATTTATCTGCTTTATTTACACGACGTTCTCTGAAAAACAATAGTTTATAACAAAATACAGTGTTGCTCAAGCTTAAATATGATATAAATTTGTTCTAAGAAAACGTCAAATGAATAGTTGAAGGATAAAGTGTTTTAACAAGTTAGAACTTGTCACATGCTTCTTTGAACAAGTACCACCCGGTCCAACTCTGAAGATTTCAAGAGAAAGAAAGCCAGTTAAGGATCATAATCAGCCCTAAATAGTAGCAACATTATTAGGAATCAGTATCATAAATTTTACTTGTCAGCAAAACCTAGAATATAATGAAAATATGAAGAATTTGACCGTACTTGACTTCACAATTGTTTTTTTCCACGGCTTCATGGTACCTTTATCTAGCCACACATTGATGAAAGGCTTTTAAAAAGTAACTGTGTTTCTGCTTACTTTACCTACGCTTGTTTTTATACGACCGCAAAAAAATTTTTGTGGTCGTATATTGGTATGACGTTGGCGTCGTCCGGCGTAGTCCGAAGACACATTGGTTTTCGCACTCTAACTTTAGTTTAAGTGAATGGATCTCTATGAAATTTTACCACAAGGTTCAATACCACAAAAGGAAGGTTGGGATTGATTTTGGGGGTTATGGTACCAACAGTAAAGGAATTAGGGGCCAAAAAGGGGCCAAAAATAAGCATTTTTGTAACTTAGAGACATAACTTCTGTGTTAGTGTATGGATCTCTCTGATATTGAACCACAAGGTTCCATATCACAAAAGGAATGCTGGGATTGATTTTGGGGGTAATTGCCTCAAAATTTAAGGAATTAGGGGCCAAAAAAGGGGCAAAAAACAAGCATTTTTTCTAGTTTCATGACAATAAATTGTGTGTAAGTGTATGGATCTTTCTGAAATTGTACTACAAGGTTCCATATCACAAAGAGAAAGCTGGAATTGAGTTTGGGGGCAATTGCCAAAACGTGTAGGAATTGGGGGCCAAAAAGGGACCAAAAATAAGCATTTTTCTAGTTTCCAGACAATAACTTGTGTTCAAGTGTATGGATCTCTCTGAAATTGTACTGCAAGGTACCATACCACAAAGGGAAGGCTGGGATTGATGATGGGGGTAATTGCCTCAAAATTTTAGGAATTAGGGGCCAAAAAGGGGAAAAAAACAAGCATTTTTCTAGTTTCAGGACAATAACTTGTGTGTAAGTGTATGGATCTTTCTGAAATTGTACTACAAGGTTCCATATCACAAAGGGAAAGCTGGGTTTGAGTTTGGGGGTAATTGCCCTAAACGTTTAGGAATTTGGGGCCAAAAAGGGGCCAAAAAACACATTTTTCTAGTTTCCAGACAATTACTTGTGTTCAAGTGTATGGATCTCTCTGAAATTGTACTGTGAGGTACCATACCACAAAGGGAAGGCTGGGATTGAGTTTGGGGGTGATGAATCATAAGGGGGTTCAAAAAATTTGGGGGGGATTTTTTTTTTCCTTTTTTTTCTTTTTTTCCTTTTTTTTTTTCTTTTAAAATTTTCCATTTTAAGTTGGTTATTTCTGATTTATATTTAAAAGCAAATAATAATGATATGGTAGGAGATACACACCAAACAGGATGTGTAAATTATTATATAATAAGTATTGTGCAATAGCAAGAAATTTTCAATTGCACAGTATTGCACAATAGCAAGAAATCTTCAATTGCACAGTATTGCGCAATAGCAAGAAATCTTCAATTGCACAGTATTGCGCAATAGCAAGAAATATCCAATAGCACAATATTGCACAATAGCAAGAAATTGTCAATTGTACAGTATTGCGCAATAGCAAGAAATATTTAATTGCACAGTATTGTGCAAAAGAAGATACTTCGTATAAATTGCTTATTTCTTGACCAATTTCAATGGGGTTTTATTCTTGAATTCTTGGGGTTCTTTAATATGCTGAATCTAACCGTGTATTTAGTTTTTGGCCCGTTTTTAAATTGGTCCACATTGAGGTCCAAAGGGTCCAAAATTAAACTTTGTTTGATTTCATCAAAAATTGAATTATTGGGGTTCTTTGATATGACGAATCTAACCGTGTATTTAGATTCTTAATTTTTGGTTCCATTTTCAAATTGGTCTACATTAAGGTCCAAAGGGTCCAAAATTAAACTTAGTTTGATTTTAACAAAAATTGAATTCTTAGGGTTCTTTGATATGCTGAATCTAAACATGTATTTAGATTTTTGATTATGGGCCCAGTTTTCAAGTTGGTCCAAATCGGGGTTCAAAATTAAACTTTGTTTGATTTCAACAAAAATTGAATATATGAGGTACTTTGATATGCTGAATCTAACCATGTATTTAGATTTTTGTTTTTGTGGCCCCGTTATCAACTTTGTCCACATTGAGGTCAAAAGGGTCCAAAATTAAACTTTGTTTGATTTCATCAAAAATTGAATTCTTGGGGTTCTTTGATATGCTGAATCTAACCATGTATTTAGATTTTGGATATTGGACCATAATAGGTGAATGTCCAATTTAAAATTTTTAAGTTCTTACACCACATTCATTCTGTGTCAGAAACCTATGCTGTGTCAAATATTTAATCACAATACAAATGCAAAGCTGTATCAAGCTTGAATGTTGTGTCCATACTTGCCCCAACTGTTCAGGGTTCGACCTCTGCGGTCGTATCAAGCTGCGCCCTGCGGAGCATTTTATTGTAAAAAGCACTCATAAAATTCAACTGCTTCCTCTGTTTAAACCCAGAAAAAACAAAACTTGTACCTCCCTACCCTAATTTTTATCTGTATTTTAGTTGAAACACAGGTATTATATAAGGCCTATAAGGAATAATCATTTAAAGACTGCTTTTTGTGTTGTACTTGCATTTTAGGAATTTTAAGGAATAAATAAATTATATTCCAGAAAACAAGGGAGATAAATATGCATTATTTCTCAACGTTTCGTTTAAGCTGGTCATAGTTGTGGGAAACTTTTTTATTAAAATCTTTTCACATCATCAATTTAACAATATTTAATGTAACTTTAAATTAAATTTAATGCCATACCCACTGCAGGATTTTAAATCCATGCAACAACTTTTTGTTGGTTTCCATTCATACTTGTGAGGCAAAACAACCAAACAGCAGAAAACAGCCCAAGGCCACCAAAATTAATGGGTCTTCAACACAGCGAGAAAATGCTGCACCAGGAGGCGTGTTTGCAATTGATATCAAACAAAAGTGGAATTGGTTATTCAGTCATTTTATTTATTTCCCCAGTAATTGATATACACCAGAACAATGTTTTAAAAAGAACACAAGGAAAGCAGATTTTGTTTGTCACTCTTCTCACCTTGAATTTTCAAGGTTATACAATGTTTATTTGGTTTACTCAAATTCTTGTTTTTTTTCTTTATTTCAGACAATATGCAAACATGGTTGTTGGTAAATGGATACTTCCTAAAGACATGATACTTAATTACCATATGTAAACAGTGACACTTTTCTTTATATTAAATAGATATAAATGTTGGTGAAGGAAAACCCTAACTTTATCATGTTTTCAGGGAGATATATGTCAAAGTATTAACACTGAAATTTGCCAGCCTTTTAAGTAGTACATTGAGCAAGATTTTTTACATTGGTACAAAGGAAGTAAATGAAATTTAAAATCTTTAAGAGACAAATTTGTACCATTTGGATATTTGTTTATAAGCATTCATAAGTCTTTATATATGATATATTTGGTTATTGTCAATTTAAGTTTGGTTCGAAGCTTGTGCCTTAGAAGGTGAATTAAATCTTTGCCATGTTTAGGGAATGACCATTCAGCTTTGACATGGGTGGAACATTTAATTTCATGGCAAATAATTGTTTTCTTTCTCCCTGATCAAAGTTGGGATTAGAAGATTTTATTTAGAGAATAAGCATACCCCCCCCCCCCCCCCCCCCCCCCCCCCCTGAAAGTAAATGTATGTTCCCTTATTGTTTGTACTCCAAGGACTTGTTCATTGTATTTAAATGAACTGAAATGTTCTCTCCTTGAAATAAATACCTTGCAAAATATCACCATAAAGGGTTAACATAAGAAACACACGATGTGTCTGTTGAAAAGACAAAGAGAAGTATGACCTCCATTAATTTTGAGAGATTATTAGGTTAAGTGTAAGAAGTCTTGCTCATTATGAATTAAACATTTGCCTTACTTGCTGTAATAGTATATCATGTATTTTTCCTTGTATTTATCTCTATTGTGTTTGTTTAACATTTTAATTCTGAGAAATTTTTATTTAATAACATATTGAATTGCTAAAGATTGGAAAAGTATCAATTTCTAATTGATATGATACAATATGACAAGTTGAGATTTTTTCCATTTACAATGATGCTGACACTGATTTGTAATTATAAAAAGTACATACCTCATTGTGGTTGATTTAAAAATATGAATGATAGACAGTTTATTGATTTAGTAAATGATGTTCTAAATGTATTTTCATCCCAATTTGTGAAAAGTTTATAACTTTAAAACCAAGATTTGACATCCATTACTTAAAAAATGCATTAATAATTAAGCTCTTGAAATTTTTTTTGACAAACTAGATTTATCTTATTACAGCAAGAAAGGTGATACCAGCATTCAGGTATTTACTGTCTCCAAATGTTTTGTATGATTATGTGATAAAATAAATTGGAAATATAGTCACTTCCACTGAAATGTACAACACATTTAAATATACCATTGAAAGTTCTTTATCTCAATACAGATCTGTACATGTGTAATTGTACATGTGTAATTGTACATTTTGCCACTCGTATATACTGTAGGATTGAATGAGTTCTAATGGGCCTTCTGTGATTGACAAGTCTATCAAGCACCTGTCAGTTAGTATCACACACTTGTTCAGTCATAAATAGAATAAGTTACCATGAGTGCAGCAATGTAGATCTAGGAGTATTAACAAAGTAATGAACTTTCAATAGTATTTTTTAACGTGTTTAAGTAGGTTTTATATTAACAATTGATATTCATTCCTTTTGACAGTTGTACAGTACATTGTAATACCTGTAATAAAATGTTTTATTGAAGATATTTTCATCAATTCTTCAAAATGGGAAAAGTCTCTAATGTTGGATGGACGGATGGCTGTGTGACGTCCAATGCAGTGTTCCAGCTTGATCGTTTGAATGTCAAATTAAATGCATATTTAGGACAAGAACATGATAATGTAGTATGAGTGTAAACCCTGCTTCTTACTAAACTGACACCCTGAGTCTGATTTTTTACTTGCTTGTTCATAAAGGAACAGTTTGCAGGAAAACAACACTCTACCTGGACACATTATTCTGACTTCTAGCCTACCAGTCTTTGCTCTTACTCTTAACTAGAGAGCAGCAAATACCAATTTTCAAGTCTTTGGTTTGACCTGGCTAAAAGTCACAAAGGGGGTTATCAAAACAGAAGATAGATTAAAAAACAGACAACACCATGGTCAAATTGAAAAATCAAACAAGTCAACAAATCACTCCATACAACAGCTAAGATTGTGTAATATGAACCCAAACAAAAGCAGTGTGAATGTGAGTGCAATGGAAGGATCTTATGTGTAAAAGGTATTTGAATAACATTCACAGTACTAATTTTACTGCAGCTGTATTTCTACACCCAACGTAGTCAGAGCTATCTTTTTTCATTGATATTTATATCCATGTCTGGAAATGTGCAATAACATTGCTTTTTTAATTTCACAAGCTATGATGATGTGATGAGTTACGGCAAATGCAGTAACCATGTTGCAAGCTCTTAATATACAGATACCGTTATTTTATTACTAGTATCCAGTCAAGATACCCTTTGAAGGGCAGATTAATTACAATGTAATTATTCATAATAACATAATAAACTAACTAAATAATAAACTAATGAGACCATTATGGTTCATTGGATTAATAATTGTATTCAATTTAATTGTATGAAAACTTTTGACTTTTTCAAAAAATTCAAAAAAGTTGACTGAATTCAATATAGGCATCGACAATTCTAAAATTAAGAGAACAACAATTAAAAGAAAAACCGACAAAAACCCACTCATGAGATTTTTGACTGGGAGAAAGCCCTTTCCGTATTATCTCATCTTACATGGGGACATACAAATACATCTTAACAGATAGCATTTTAATAGGTTGATGAATACAATATATATTTTTTGGGTACAGACAGACCACATGTAGGATATAAGTTCGGAAAATTTTGATAATGCCTTTTCTGTGCTAGAGGCTCATTGAATTTCCCTGCATATTTCTCACTAATACACTCTTTGTTGACCAACTATAGGAAGCCAAATGCATAAAATTGTCCGTGCTTAAATTTGCACAGGGTCATGCAAGCAATACGGTTTGTGATAAAATGTTTCGTTTTAAAGGACGATAAGCTACAACCAAGTGATAAAGTTTTGCCAAAATTTACATAATGAGATGCCTCATGACAATCAGATAATGAATGGAACGAAAAGAATTGGAAACCTATGAGCACCAACAACGATAACTTACCTCTCACCAAAAGTTCGACATCTAATTATGTTGATAATTCATGAAGCTTGTTAGTAGTGTTGTTAAGATTTTCTTTCTATTATGATATTCAACTTACAGCAGTGTCTGCCTTTTAGGCTAATTTGTATGTATCTTCAAGCATCCTTTGGGTTAAATAGACAAAGTCGAACTGTTGTTCGAGTTAAACTGGTTGATCCTGGCCATATTTTGTGTCTACCAATTCAGGATAACTTGACCCCAGGTTAGGTGGAGGGTTTAGCGCTCACAAACATGTTTTATCCCGCCATATTCTTTGTGTGACTGTCCCAAGTCAGGAGCCTGTATTTCAGTCGTTGTCGTTGATTCATGTCTGTCATATTTGTTTTTCTTATATTGTTTTGTTATGAAATAAGCCGCTAGTTTTCTCAATTGAATTGCTTCACATTTTCATGTGGGTGCCTTTTATAGCCGACTAAGTGGTTAACATTTTTTAAGACCTCAATAACTTTGTCAAATCTACATGTAATTTTATGGAATTTGGACAAAAGCTTCTTAATGATCCACAGCAAAACTTTGAAAATATTTATTTCCATTTTTATACGACCGCAAAAAAATTTTGTGGTCGTATATTGGTATGACGTTGGCGTCGTCGTCGTCCGGCGTCGTCGTCCGAAGACACATTGGTTTTCGCACTCTAACTTTAGTTTAAGTGAATGGATCTTTTTGAAATTTGACCATAAAGTTAAATACCACAAAAGGAAGGTTGGGATTGATTTTGGGGGTTATGGTACCAACAGTTAAGGAATTAGGGGCCAAAAAGGGGCCAAAAATAAGCATTTTCTAGTTTCCAGACAATAACTGTGGAACGGTGTATGGATCTCTCTGAAATTATACTACAAGTTTCCATACCACAAAGGGATGGTTAGGATTTGCTTTGGGGGGTTATGGCTCAAACCGTTTAGGAATTAGGGGCAAAAAAGGGGGAAAAACAAGGTTGTCCTGGTTAATGGACAAATACTTTAGTACAAAACATAATTTAAAGCAGTGTAAGGGAGATAAATCAAATACATCATTGAAATTATCTCCCTTACACTGCTTTTAAATTATGTATAAAGTAATGGTTAATGAACAATAAAGATAATTTAAAACAGTGTAAGGGAGGTAATCCTAATACAACGTTTTGGTTACTTCCCTTACACTGCTTTTAAATTATGTTTTAAAAAATGCATATTTATAAAGGAAGACCAGTAAAAATATCTGCAAATGTTGCATCTTTTTTTTTTTACAAAAAAATCCATATGAAAGATTTGACACTATATTTTTAATTCTATTATAAAATAGATTAAGTTAGCACTATGGTAAATTTCAATGGGTAATTATGGTTGCCAACTCCATTGGAAATTTGAATTGAGATTATGACCATATCTTGAGGGAAAGAATTTTTTGGGGGAAAAAAGGGGGGGGGGATAAAAAGAAATTGTGGGGGGTCAATTTTTTCTCATTTCAGATTTCAGAAATTAAAAAAAATTATTCTTCAAATATTATTTTTTTTTCAAATTTCAAATATTGAAAAATTTCAAGAAGAAATCTTTAATTGCACAGTATGGCGCATTAGATTTGTAAAATCTTTGATCACATTTATTTATTTGTTATGCCGAATCTAACAGTGTATTTAGATTTTTAATTTTGGGTCCAGTTTTCAAATTGGTCTACATTAAGGTCCAAAGGGTCCAAAATTAAACTTTCTTTGATTTAGCAAAAATTGAATATATGAGGTTCTTTGATATGCTGAATCTAAACATGTATTTAGATTTTTGATTTTTGGCCCAGTTTTCAAGTTGGTCCAAATTGGGGTCCAAAATTAAACTTTGTTTGATTTCAACAAAAATTGAATATATGGGGTTCTTTGATATGCTGAATCTAACCATGTATTTATATCTTTTATTTGTGGACCCCGTTATCAAATTGGTTCATATTGAGGTCAAAAGGGTCCAAAATTAAACTTTGTTTGATTTCATCTAAAATTGAATTATTGGGGTTCTTTGATATTCCAAATCTAACCGTGTATTTAGATTTTTAATTTTGGGTCCTGTTTTTTAAATTGGTCTACATTAAGGTCCAAAGGGTCCAAAATTAAACTTAGTTTGATTTTAACAAAAATTGAATTCTTGGGGTTCTTTGATATGCTGAATCTAAACATGTGTTTAGATTTTTGATTATGGGCCCAGTTTTCAAGTTGGTCCAAGATGGGGTCCAGTATTTAAACTTTGTTTGATTTTAACAAAAATTGAATATATATGGGGTTCTTTGATACGCTGAATCTAAACATGTGTTTAGATTTTTGATTATGGGCCCAGTTTTCAAGTTGGTCCAAGTTGGGGTCCAAAATTAAACTTTTTTTGATTTCAACAAAAATTGAATATATGGGGTTCTTTGATATGCTGAATCTAACCATGAATTTAGATTTTTAATATGTGGACCCCGCTATCAAATTGGTTCATATTGAGGTCAAAAGGGTCCAAAATTAAACTTAGTTTAATTTCATCAAAAATTGAATTAATGGGGTTCTTTGATATTCCAAATCTAACTGTATATTTAGATTTTTAATTTTAAGTCCCGTTTTTTAAATTGGTCTACATTAAGGTCCAAAGGGTCCAAAATTAAACTTAGTTTGATTTTAGCAAAAATTGAATTCTTGGGGTTCTTTGATATGCTGAATCTAAACATGTGTTTAGATTTTTTATTATGGGCCCAGTTTTCAAGTTTGTCCAAGTTGGAGTCCAAAAATAAACTTTGTTTGATTTTAACAAAAATTGAATATATGGGGTTCTTTGATATGCTGAATCTAACCATGTATTTTGATTTTGGACATTAGACCATAATAGGTAAATTAAAAAAATTCAAGTTCTTAGACCACATTCTTTCTGTGTCAGAAACCTATGCTGTGTCAAATATTTAATAACAATCCAAATTCAGAGCTGTATCAAGCTTGAATGTTGTGTCCATACTTGCCCCAACTGTTCAGGGTTCGACCTCTGCGGTCGTATCAAGCTGCGCCCCAGCGAAGCATTTTATTCCGTATTTTACTCATAAAATTAATGGACTTAGTTTTTTTTTTAAAGTTAACATTCAGATTTAGTCTGAGATAAAGTTTTCAGTCATCAATAACTTTGTCAAAATTTCATGGCATTTTATGAAATTTGGACAGAAGCTTGTTTATGACCAATAGGCAGAATCCAGTGTGAAATTTTGAAAATATCTATTTTCCTTTTTTCTTTTTTTTCTGATAAATTGACTTAATTTTTTTTATAGTTAACACTCAGGCTCAATCTGAGGTAAAAGTTTTTGTCTCGCCTTGACAGAGTCAAAAAGCGAGACATAGGTATGCTGTTTCCGGCGGCGGCGGCGTCAACAATGTTTTAGTTTGTGATTAGGTCTAGTTTATGGCGAACCACTAGTGGTAGGTCGATGATATTTGGTATGCAGTTGTATTAGCATTGGCACATCTCATTTCCATGAAGATTATTTGGCCCTGCCCACTCAGTAATGGTCTATTGACT